TGGCTTTCCCAGAGGTAACCGCAAAGGCATCTGGTTTATTAGCTGAAATATGAATTAAACCTAAAGCCCTGCTTCAAAGATTAGTTTTCTGCTGGTCTCTTGAATTGCTGGGGGCTTCCTCGACAGGCCCAGCTGTTAAATTTGAGAGCACAGATGCCCAGGGGTTGTACAAACAAGCCCTTGGCTGTGGAGATCTTTCTTCGGAATCATCTGAGACAGCTGACCGAAAGTGTATAGACGCAGGCCCCTTTTGAGATTTCACTTTACAAATGGGGAGAAATAAAACACACATTTGCAGGGTGTGTGTGTGTGTGTGTGTGTGTGTGTGTGTGTGTGTCTTCAAGAAACATAGAACTCTACCCTCTTGCTGGATCATGCTTTGCTTCAAAAAAAGAAAAAAAAAAAAATGGACCCACTTTGAAAAGAGGTAGCTAGCGTTACCAGTGGCAGGAAATGAGAGGAGAATCGCACATCAGGTGGGTCGGAAAAACTGGTTCCCTGCCCCAGATTATCAGGCCCCTGATAAGCAGGCCTTAAGTAGAGAGATCTTCAGAGGGCAGCGTGGCTGCGGAGAAGCCTGCAGGACCAGGTGTGTGCAGCTTTTACTGAGCTGACGTCACGTATCCAGGACAACTGACAGGAATTCAGACAGATCGTTCAGCCCACATGCTCTCTAGGATATCGGGAAGCAGTAACTTAGCCTTATTTTTACAGGGTTGGCAGACTGGTCTCTCAAAATACGACTTTGAGATCCATGTAAGAACTGCTGAATTAGGGCAGGTGACTGCTAAGAGCTTGTGTGTGTCATAGACAGGACACCACCCCTAAAAGTCTACTAACTCACCTGGGACAGGGACATTGCAGAAAAATTTTGCCAGTTTTGGGTCCAGGATCTCTAATAAAATCCAAATATCCAAGCTACATTTTCATATTCTTATTCTCTTTCCATATGCCACACCATCCCCTTTTCCAAACATTATTTTAAATGTTTTTATTGTTGTTTTGTTTTGTTCCCTCCCCTCCCCCCACCCAGGCAGGGCTTCTCTGTGTAGCTTTGTGCCTTTCCTGGATCTCGCTCTCTAGACCAGGCTGGCCTCGAACTCACAGAGATTCACGTGCCTCTGCCTCCCAAGTGCTGGGGTTAAAGGCGTGCGCCACCACCACCCGGCTATTTTAAATGCTTTTAATGTTCTTTACATTTCAAATTAAACTTTAGGTAATAATTGATAAATTACACCCACAAAATAGAAATCTTAAACTGAAGCAGCTGCATTTTATTCATGAAAAGCATGTCCTACTAAAGGCAATGATTTTTTGCCACTTAAAAGTCATAGAAATGGCCAGGCGGTGGTGGCGCACACCTTTAATCCCAGCACTCGGGAGGCAGAGCCAGGCGGATCTCTGTGAGTTCGAGGCCAGCCTGGTCTCCAAAGAGAGTTCCAGGAAAGGCGCAAAGCTACACAGAGAAACCCTGTCTCGAAAAACCAAAAAAAAAGTCATAGAAATGGTTCGCCTGGACAACTTCAGTGGGTCTAAAATTAACCTCAATTTTTTAAAAAGCACTATGAAGTTAAGAGAATTCCTATGTGCTCTCATCCTCTCCAGAGGCTTCAATCTCCACCTTTTATGGAAAGGCAACAAACAGCCAGCTTCCTGTTCAGGCCTCGAGGCTGGCCAGACTTTTACACATCACAGCATACGCCCGGCCGCCGCCTCCTCTACTTGCCTTATCTTAATTTAAACTTGTTGAAATATGAGACTGTTTAAAGCACACTAATGTTTCCCTATGAGATTTATCTTACGCCAGCATTAAGGACTCCAGGATCAAGACAGCTCTCTAGTCATTTGGTATTCCTAAAATATTTTAATTGCGGTGTTTATAGAAGAAAGACTTAGCACTCAAGTAGGTGAGATTTCGATGTACTAAAACTTAACCTATTTACATTTCTAGGCCCTATTTTAATGTTCTGATTAGCATTATATGCAACTGGAAAAGGGCTCCCCACATCCTCCCCCTCTCTTTCCTAATTACCTGAAAAATGTAAAAAGGGGACAAGAAAATGGCTATCGACACAAAGGATTACTTAAAAAAAATAGCTATATATTACTTTAACCCTATGTTTTCCTTTCAAAAAACGGGATGCCTTGGCCAAAGTAAGCTAGACACATTCTTTTGTGCTTGGGTGCACAACCGGAAAGCCAAGCCTCCAGGCCTTGGGGAAGAGCCCTGCGCCGATGTGCTGCGAGATAAGGCCCCACAGTGACACTTAAGGAAGGGCCTGCTCGCATTCGGATTCTGCATTCCTCAAGAACAATTCATGGCAATAAGCAACTTTGCAGAAGAGCCACATGAAAGCTGGGGCCAATGAATGAGGGTCATCTGCTCTTTATCACAGGGTAAACCTCACCCCGGCCAGCGCCTAACCTTTTAACCTTGCCGATTCCTAATTTACACATGAATAATGGAATTCTGGCCCAGAGTGCAACTTTCCGCTTCTAGCTGCTAAATTCAGAAACTAAGACTCGGCCAGTGTGTTAAAAAAGCCCAGAGTGGCACAGATTAAAGTGTTAGATTACAGGTAGCTGCTACCACCGCTAAACCAAAAGATGCATTCGCTCATAAAATCCCTAAGAAAACAAAAAGCACACACTCGTACCCTGCTGCTATCGGTAAGTGGAAGAACTAGCTTTGAAAACACAGAGACAACAGAATGCCCACTTAATGCTCCTCTCTTCCTGCTCACTTCGGATAACATCTGCACAGGAAGAGCGATTAAAGCCCCTGTCACAAGACGCGGCCTCTTAAACGACAAAACTGTTTGACTCCAGGATCGCTGAGAGCCTTCTTATTTCTAAAGAAAAAAAAAATCTAAATTTAAATCCGCTGTGCATTTCTTGTTTTAAAATCCATAATCGTGACTGGATGAAAGTGCCCATCTAAGCAGTTCATCTGGGAAGTTTTGTTTGTTTCTGAGGGTCTGTGAGATGGCTGGGGGGGGGGGGGCAGGTAAATAAACGTTTCTAAGACAGGGCCTTGATATATAGTCCGAACTGGCCTAGAACTCGCCATCCTCCTGCCTCAGCCATCCACATGATGGGATCACAGCTATGTGCCACACCAGATTTTTCAATCCAAAGTTTTATATTTATAACATGAAGATTATTAGGTCATCCCCTTTCCACAATACTTTGCAAAGTGATTAATATGCAAATAGGTACTATTAAAAATAATTTTAAAGATACAAAAATGTGAAGATACTCAAAATGTTCAAAGTTTTTTGAATGATTGGTTGGGGTTTTTGTTTGTTTGTTTGTTTGTTTGTGGGGGGGGGGTTAGGAGGTTAGAACTGAACCCAGACACTCATGCATGTCAAACACATGCTCCAACACTTCATCACTAACCCAGCCCCTGGTCCTAATATTTGCGTCATTTCAGATTTTATTTATGGAGTCAGAAAGCTGGGTGAGCTATAGGATTCTGCCAGGCTTCTCAGGAGGTCCTGGAAGCAAGTGTGGTCCTGATAAATGTTTGTCTTTTAAACCCTGTCCACTCCCCTCCACCACCCACTTCCCACAAAGGCAACACAAACTATAGTTCCTTGGCATGGAAAAAAAAATGATCCCACAAATCTGGAAAGATGGGAAAAGAAGACTTTGCAGAGTGATAGTACATTACACAAGACTCAAGTGAACAGAGCGTAAGGCTAAAATGCACATTCTCCTCAAAGTGATACTGTACAGCGAAACTAGTACTCCATGAAAAAAAGATTTCAATGGCCAATGATCAAAGCCAAAGAAAACAGTAGGGGGTCTTGGGGGTGGAGTTTATCAGAAATCTTTTTGGGGTTATGCTCTCCTTTGGCAGGGGTGGGGGTGGGGCAAGGCTTGGAAGCGTCTCTAATTTGCCAACATCGTTGAACACAAATATCACTCTGCTTGCGGTTATTTTCTACGATTCATCATCGCCACACAATTACATCAATTACCCTCTCAGTGCAGCAGGAACATGCCCCTGAGCTGCAGTTAAGTCACCTGGGAAACTCCAGGCCATCTCCCAAGCTCGACCGGTGGAGTGGAGATCTTGGATAACGCACTCCCTAGAGGCTATGTGGTTATCTCCAGAACGTGCTCGGCCCGTTGTACACTTTGTGAACCGGTCAGTGTGTGTAGGGTGCAAAGCTCTGCCCTTTGGAGGCCAACAGCACAGCCAGAGCTGTGAAACTCTTTCCAGCATCCCACTTCGTGCAGTGGTGCCTGGTCACATGAAGAGGTGGTGACCTGAAAGAGTTCCCTTACCTGTCCTAGGCCGGTCCTGACCCCTAGCAGTTACGGAGGTCAACCACCACCCAATGGATCATAAGGCTGACAGTTGCTTGGATGGTGTTAATACAAAGGAAATCCTTAGGCAACGGACTTTATGAAAACTGGAGAAAATAAATGGACAGATCTGGTTTAATTCCATTAGGCCTACTACAGAAAGGGCCTTGAGCTCCTTCCCTCCCAGCTGGAAAAGATGCGACATACTTCAAAGGCTGGAGAGTTACTGACCAATGCCCTCCCTCTCCTACAACCAGAAAGCAACATGGGTGATCTAAGAACCGCCTGAGAGATGGAAGGCTGGGCTGTAAGAAAGATTTAGCACTCAAGAGCCCGCCACCCGGCGGAAAGACTTGCTTGGGGTTGTTTCCATTCAGTGAATTCCCAAAGATTGAAATTTTACAACAGCTTTGCTTGTACTGGCCAAACGGCTTCCTGTAATCCCTACAGTATGCAACATTTGAAATGAAGATAGTCACCTGGCGTTTTCAAAGTCTAATTTGCATTTAGTTCCCAACAACTCAAGCTTGTTGCAGATTTCTCTGCACGTCTTCATCAGTGCCAGCTGTATCATCTCTGGTAAAATTCCTAACGCATGTATGATTTTAGTGCTACTCATAAGCCAATAAAAAATACCTTCTAACCGTGAAAACTGTTACCAAAAGAAGAACTTAAACACTTACTTGACAATGTCAGATGAGCTTTCTGACTAAGAATGGCTCCGTATTTGTTGACTGCCAAGCACTGATAAAATCCTTCATCCGACTGCTCTCCTCGCCTGCCTTCCACCTCACTCACGTATAAAGAGCCATTAGAGAGAACCTGGATCCGTTTATTTTCGGACAATTTTGCTCCATTTTTTAACCACGTGACCTTAATGGGACCTTCTCCATGAGCCTGGCAATCTAAAAGGACCGAGTCTTTCCTTGTGACAGTCACATCCTGTGGTTCTCTCATGAAAAACAGTTCACTAAAGCTCCACACTCCTGCAAAGAAAAAAGGGAGAAAGGGGTATATCCAGAATTACAGGTATAAAGTCATTTAGCACACAACTGTAAAAACGCATATTTGTGGTATAAGGCACTTTCTCCAGCCACGACGGTTAACTTCCAAGGACCTTAGTAACTGCAAACCCTTTCAACACGTCGGAGAGGTCGCCTTTTACAATGTCTACACTCAAAACATGGGAAGATTCGGATACCTTCTCTGAAGCCTAAGAATTTGGTTCTCAGGTTTCTGGCTGGAGACCCAAAATCATCAGAACTCACTAGCACAAGCCATATGCTACTTTTACAAGCTTGTCAAAAAGATCTTGAACAGGGTTAAGTCATAAAAGTCTAATTTTACAAGAAATCATTAGCAAAACTCCAACTCTGTGAACAAGCCAGTTTATTTCCTTGTCTCCTGAAGTGTTTTTGGAAAACCCGGCACCTACTCCTTCAGGAAGTACGTTTATCTTTTGTGACAAATTACAAGTTTGCATTTTTTCCCCCCCTATCTGCCCTTTTACGGCAGGGGATGCTGTCTCCTCTCCTTAAAAGAAATCCATTTACTTCATTTCTGCCAAGCCAGCTAGGTATTTAAAGGACACACAATAGACTTTGAAAAGTTGGTAACTCTGGCTGCTTGTGCTCAGTGGGTGATCGGATTAGGAAACCTTTATTTCACTTTTTTCGAGCTACCAACTGTTGGAAAAAAATGCGTGACTAATTGGTCCTTACTGTCTAATAGGGATGGGAGATTGCTTAATCAACCAATACACATTTTTATCAGAGCAGAGGAAATGCTTTATCCAAGCACACCCAAGGCCCTGGTCCCCCAGAATACAGCATGTGTTGCCTCTTACATTTAGAGCAAAAGCACGTTGACCTGGGCCAACATAAAGTTAGGGGTCTTGGTGGGAGACTTTATCTTTTTTTAAACACTTCTCCTGCTCGGTTTGAAGCCCAGATTACAAATACACAACAATGATTTATCTGTTTCTGATCAAGACAGATCCTGAAAAACCCCCGAGTCTGGAGCTGCGGACTTCCACTAAGGTCTGCCCAGGGCAGCTACGCCAACAGCCCCATGCAGCCAGCAACCACTCCGGAAGACGCCCATTGTGTTTCTGAGCTGCCTCCTACTTTGATCCTTTCTCTTGCTAACTGAAACTAACTCTTCCAGAAAAAAAGAAAGAAAAAGCAGTGCTTGTAACTTATAAAAAGCCAAGCCCCTTAACACCTTTTCAAATCCCCTCCTTCCCCTAACATGCACTTAACACGTTTCCGTCTTTGAAGAAACCAAGATTGAAGAAAGGGAGATAAATAAATTTATGCAAGTTTGTGCAAGGCTAATCTGAAAGTTTCAGGAACCTCCAGCCGAGCCCCCAAAGACCTACATGCAGCAAGTAAATTCTATCCAGACACCTTCCTCTCTGCCTCTCTGGGGGCACACATGGGCCACGCAACTTTCAAGCTCCTTCTCGTTGCAATTCCACCCTCCCATCTCCTTGCTCAGTTTCGAGCTGCGGAAGCGGTGGGGGGGGGGGGCCGGCTCGGCCACCCCGAGACCTGAGGGACCCATTGCAAACCCTAGAAACGGCGCGCAATCGCGGCGCCCCCCTGCGCGGCGAGGCTGCCACTCAGGAAACAATATAAATAAAACCACGTGCGGCCGCGGCCCGGGACGCTACGCGAAACCCCCGGGCTGGCCTCAGCGCGGACAATGGCGTGAGCAGGGCGAGTGGACAGCGGCCCTGGGGAGACTCGGCCTCGGCCTCGGAGCGCTCGGAGCGCGCATCCCGAGGGAACCCGGCCGGCCGCACCACCCGGGGCATCCCGGCCCGTCCCCCTCCCCGCGCACGGTCGCGCACACTCGCTCTGGGAGCGCGCCCACCTGGAACGGAGCCGAGCGGCGGCAGCAGCAGCAGCA